AAAAAAAAAAAAAAAAAAAAGAAAAGGAAATTGTTACTGTTTTTGCTAGGTTGTGGTTAATATTACCAGCTGGGAAGCTGTGGGTGCTGATTCCCTTCCAGCACAGGCCAGGTGAAGTCAGTAATTGGAGAAGAGCTCAGAGCTATCAGAAGATGGCATTCTGACCCCAGCTAGGATGGCAGGGAAGGTGAAAGCTTTGGAACCTCAGTGAAGAATCATCCTGCTAACAAAGATAGAATGAAATGTGGCAGCTTGGGCTTTCCATGGGACATGCTGGTCATCTCTTCTTCCTGACTACTGACCTGGTTGGCACTCAGTGCCTGTAGTCTTAAGAGCACAGTAGGACTGATCTTCCCACTCCTTCCTTGGAACCAGGTGTGCCGGCTGGTATAAAGGAGGCACATCCTTGCAGCTCCTGCTGAGAGCTAACCCTGACACTTCCCAGCCAATTCCGATGCCAAGGCTGATGGCAAGAACTTCTGCTTCTGGTCAGGCTGGACTAGGAGAGACTGGATTTATCCTCTTATTGGAAACAATTTAGAAAACAACAGCAACAACAACAAAAAAGGTATGACTCAATACATTTGACATTAGGCAATGAAGAACAATGATGGATGAGAGCAAGGAAGAAAAACAAGGTGAGACTTGTGGCTGACTTCCACCCATTGAAAGGCACAGTAGGGGAATTCAGGCAGATCTGTCTTCCTCAGGAAACAGGACATGACTGGGAGTCTGGGGGAAGCCAAACAGGCTATAATTTGTAGGACAGAGCATTAGAGAGACTAAAAGCTATAGAGATAGTGAACTGGAGATACACAGAGGGTTCTCTTCAGATACTAATCAACAGGAAATTTCCTGAGGTTAGGGAGATTCACAAAAGAAAAAAGGAAATAGTCCTTAGAGTTCACATGAGGCTGGGAAATAGAGCTTGTTTCTGGTATCCAGAGTGGAAAGTCTCTGAATTTAAGGCACATCAATTAGAGCACTAACAAGAGTCATGGCTGGGTAGTGGGGGTGAGGAAGAAGTAACCCCACATTAAAAACAGCACTGGTCTCACCAAAGAATCAAATGTTTTCCAAGCAATTTTATTAATTCTTGAAGCAAAATTCTTTATAAAACACAAAAATATACAGCACACAAGTTAAAATTCACAAATATCTGGCACCCAATCAGTGTTTACCGGGAAAGCAAAGGAGTAAGAAAATAATTACCTATGATGAAAATATTGATCAGTCCATTGACACTGACTCAGAAATGACATGACGGTACAGTCAATAATATCAAAACTATTATTATGAATATATTTTATGTTAAACTAGAATAAAAGATTGACTGTACAGATCAGACATTGACTTTGCGGGAGGGGGGCTGGGGATTGAACCCAGAGCCTTCACACTGAGTTACATCCCTACTCCTTTTTAATTTTGAGACAGGGTCTTGCTAAGTTGCTAGGTTGCCAAAACCTAGCTCAAACTTGGAATTCTCCTTCCTCAGCCTCTTAGAGTGCTGGGATTGCAGGCATGGGTCACCACACCCAGCTCCTGGCCATATTTTAAAAGACTAAAGGAAAACTTAGAGATGGAAACTACAATGACTGAGTTGAAAAATACAATGGATAAAAGCAATGGCAGATTAAACATTGTCAAACTATTTTTATTCATATATCACAGGATTGTCCAAATGGAAAAACACATGGAATCTACAAACAAGTTACTTAGCAAAGATGTGGGCTACAAGATCAATATACAAAACTCAATTATGTTTCTACTCATATGCAACAAAATGAAATTAAAATTTTTCAAAAGTTCAGTGGCATAAAAATATATGCTATTTGGAGATAAATCTGGTAAAAATATTTTAGGACCTGGACACTGAAATGATAAATGATTGTGGTGGTAAATTAGTACTTAAGAAAATGAAAAGACAAGACACAAACTGGGAGTAAAAAAGAACCACAAATCTGATAAAGGATTTGGTTTCAGAATAGATAATGAGTTTTTATAACTAAGCACTAAGAAAACTAACAGCCCAATTAAAATATGGATAGTGATTCAAACAGATACTTTGCTAAGAATGTAGATGATGCTAATAAGACATGAAAGTATACTTAATGTCATGGTCACTAGCAGAATGTAAATTAAAACTATAGCGCAATAACTCTATACATCTACTAAAAGGTCCAAAATGAAAAGGATTGAATAAGTCAAATGTTGGGGAAAATGTGGGACAACTGGAATTCTCATATAGGCTTGTGGTAGTGAAATGAGATACCCACTTTAAAAAAGTTTGACAATTTCTTAAAAAGTTAAATGTACATGACAAAATAACCTGATTATTCCACTCTTAATGATTTACCCAAGCAGATCAAAAGTATTACAGCAAACTGTACATCAATATTTGTAGCAAATTTATTTGCAATACCTAAAATGTGGAAATAATCCAGATCCCAGAGCCATGGGAAAGGATAAGGATTTGGCCCAGGGATTGCTAGCAGAAGGTTTAAATAGAGTCCATCTGGAAATGTGGAGCCCTGAATAAGAGACTTCCAGGTACAAATTATGACTCTGCTACCCATGAAAATAATGAGTTTGGGCCAATGATTTCCTTGATCTTTAGTAAAAAGACTCATCTGTAAAAGGACTGAAATCCAGTGGGTATTTGTAGCACCACTCAGGTTAGGTCTGCTACTGGCTCTGCAACTTACTAGTGTGACCTAAAGCAAATGAGTTTACTTCTCTGGGCCTCAGTGACTGCAGATGTAAGATGGGCTTGATAATGAAAGAACCCACCTCACAAAGGTGTTATGAGGATGAAGATGGGCTGGCTATACATGTACAAGCCTTAGAGCAGGCATTCCACCTTGTAAGTCTTTGCTATTACCATCTTCTGCCTCCTCATTGCCATCTTTAATATTGTTTACATCAAAGGACTCTAGGGAGGTTTACACAAAGCAGCTTTTATAAACTGGCACAGGCATTATAAAATAATTACAGGGCAGAGTGACAGGTGCTATGACAGTGTGCTGGAACACTCACAGAGAAAGAGTTCTGCTTGGCTGAGTGGAAGAAGGACGGGGCATGCTTCCCAGAGGAAGTGGGGTTTTAGTTGCATCTTGCAGAACATGTAGAAGTTCTCTAAGCAGAGGAAGAGAAGATAGGAAGATGAATTTGTACAAGATTTGTTGGTGAGAAAGACTGAATGTCACAGGAACACAGGACGGTTTCATGAGACTGTGTTTGGAGTGAGGGGAAAGGCAAAAGGCTACACAGGGACATTGGGGCCAGATCTCAAAAAGCTGGAAGTACCTTGCTGGGCATTTAAACTTGATCTGGTAAGCGAACAGTTCTTACTTGTCAGAATGGCAGCATTACCTGGGACACTTTTAAAAAAATGGAATATTCTGAGCCAGTATTTCTGACTCAGGCCTGTGGAAATCAGCTCACTCCCATAATCAGAAATAAGTCTAGTTTCACCCAGTTCATGTTACCCCCCACCCCAGCCATGTGTCCAGGGATGGCCCTGAACCAAATCAGAGCCAAAGAAAAGTAAGGAGACTTTTTTTGGCATTCCTAAAAAAAAAAGAAGTGCCTCCCCTTCCCTCATGGCTACAAGAGAGACTCCCTTCTGTGGGATGTTACAGAGAGGGACAAGGAATCCATTAGCAGAATGAGGGTGAGCTCAGAATGGGAGCATGAACACAGCACAGCAAAGCTCAGAGCAGACCCGGGGAGACCCTGGCTCCATTCTGGGTGATATTGTTTGAAGTCAAGGAACAGATTCCTTTCATTTAAGTGAATTTTCATTCATTCATTTGTTTCTCCAGTTTATACTAACTATTTACTATGTGTGTATAGAGACAGTTACAGAAATAATTTGAGTTAGGCTTTCCATGACCATAATCCAAAGCTAACCTTAACCTAACCCTTAGTCATAAACTAGAACTCTGACCTTTTTCCAGAGAAGAGATTTTATTGGCCAGAAACACAGGGCTGACTACCCAAGCTATCTGGGTGAAATGGGCATTAATATAAAAATAGGTGTGGCAGGCTGAGCATAGGGGCACACCTCTGTAATCCCAGCATTCTGGGAGGCTGAGGCAGGAGGATCGCAGTGTGGACACAACCTGGGCAATTTAGCAACTTAGTGAGATTCTATCTCAAATTAAAAATAAATAATTTTTTAAAAGGGCTGGGGATGTAGCTCAATGCAAAGGCCCTGGGCTCAGTCCCCAGTAGCACTAAAAACAAAACAAACAACAAACAACCCCCTCATCAGAATAAGCATGGTATATAAAGTGAAGGCCCAAAGTATTATAAAGAACTTATTAATTAGCAATGGGCCTCATAAAGTCAAGACAGAGGGGACCCCTGTTAAATTCAGTTCCTCCCTCATTAGCAGATGTCTAATGCATCTGTGACCTAATGTCACATGTATTAAATGTCAAAATTCCCAGCAAAAAACCCCTGTGATGACTCATCACATGGACAATTTCTGTGACCACCTGTAAAGATATGTAGTAGGTAGTGTCCCTCGTATAAACACTGTAATCCATATGTATAGATCCTAATAATTTTATTGGGTAACTATAGTAAATGCTTTCAGGTATATAGTGTTAGAATGTCTTTAAATTTTTGAACAATTTAACAGTTCAAAGTGATGACTATATACTTTCCACTTTATGGCTGAACTTCTCAGGATCGGTCTTTTTCTATTTTGGTCATTCCAGTGGGTGCATAGTAGTTCTTTACTGTGGTTTAAGTTTGCATTTGCCTAATGACTAATGATGTTAAGAATTTTTCTGTTTACCCATTGGCCACTCATATATCTTCTTCAGGTGAAGCATCTGTTCAAATCATTTGTCTATTTGAAAATGTGGTTTTCTCTTTTTTGGTACCAGGGATTGAACTCAGGTCCTTGAGCTTGCAAGGCAAGCAGCGGAACCACTGAGCTAAATCCCTGGCTTAATGTGGTTTTTCTTATTATGGGGTTATATGAGTTCTTTATAAAGTCTGAATAGAAGTCTTTATCTGCTCTGCATTTTCCAAATGTTTTTACCCCTCCATGGCTTGCCTTTTTACTTTTTAAATGTGCCTTTCAAAAATCAGAGGTTTTTCATTTTGATGAAGTCTAACTGATCAATTTTTTAATTTTGATGTAATACAAATAGATATGAATAAAGAAAATATAAAAAGACTTCTTACATCTATAAAAAAACACAAAATTTCATAACAAAATAATTAGAGAATAACAACAGTCAATACACTGTGTACCATAGTCTTAAAAGAATGGCTAAAATGTTACTCAGAGTATAAGTCATAGACAAAACAGATTCTCTCTTACAATCATTTTTTGAAAAATGGTTTCCGCCTTTTTTGTCTCCTTTAAAGCTAGGTCTCCGCATGGCCCAGGCCTGCTGTGATGGTGCCACACGTCGTTGTTTTATGGTGGGAGGCTGTGTGGTGTGACAGCTGTCCTTCAGTATCGTGGGGAAGGATTCCAGACCCCCTGGGCCATCTAAATACACAGATGCTCAAGTCCTTTCTACACAATGGCACTGTACGGCATCTGTATATGACAGTGCACATCTTCCCATTTACTTTAAACCAGCTTTAGACTACCTAAGACATTGTAAATGCTGTGTAAATAGATGTTATACTACATTGTTTAGGAAATAATATCAAGAAAAAAGTCTGCCCATGTTCGGTTGAAATGTAATTTTTTTTCCTAAATATTTTTGATCCATGGATAGTTTAGTCTCTGGAGGTAGAACAAATAGCTATAGACATCTGATGTGTTTTAGGATACATAGCAGCAGTCCAGCTGGGAGAAACCAGCTGCATGTTGTGAGCAGCCCTAGGGAGAGTTCCATGTGGTGAGGACTGTATGGTTTACGGCAGCTCTGACAACGTCTGGATCGCAACCTCTTGAGAGATCCTGAGCCAGAAGCACCTGCCTATGCTTCTCCTCCATTCCTGGTCTAAGGAAACTGAGGTAATAAATGCTTGTTTTGAATCACTAAGTTTCAGGAAGCTGAGGCAGGAGGATTCCAAGTTTAAGGCTAGACTGGGCAACAGTAAATTCAAGGCTGGGCTAGATTATATAGGATGGCCCTGTTTAAAAAAAGAAAATCAGTTCCCAATATAGAATGTAATTGAATTTTAAGATACTGACATATCTTGTGACCTTACTAAACTCACTTATTTCTCACTTGGTAATTCTAAGAGGTCTGTAATTTTTGTCTTTTAGAAGTCTAT